ATACATTTTAATGTCTTGTAATAAAAAAATGTAAATCATATCCCATCATTCTCACCCTCCTCAAATGCTATAGTACTCATTATCTATAACATTATGTTTTAAGTCAGTTGCTGTCTTACACAATTCTCATTAATTTCTATGGCTTTAACTACTATACTCAGTTTCTCAACCAATATTTAGGTGTTCACAAAGTCTCCAGACATTGGCCTAGCTGCAGTTATTGATCCTAAGTGAGGATCATCCCCAAGTCATGACATTTCTTTTGAATTCTCGTACATTGTACAGTCCATAATTATTTGTTGGGGGCTCATCCACTGAATACTTATAATATAACATAGGCTAAGCATATTCTATGGCACATTATCATTGCTTTGTGAATATTTCATAAGTGATGAATGGTGTTTCCTTCCTAACAGCTTCCTGTGGCTTCCCATTAGTAGTACTAATGGTCTCCTACAACTAGATCTGGTTTTATATTAATAACACAAAAAACAACAGTTGCAATATAGGAACAGTATCTAATTAAGTCTACAGTCTAATTAAGTTTACAGTCATTTCTAAACATTATACATTTGACCTTCACAACACCATGGTGAGACTGGGACTCTGGTTTTATCTCGCAGATGAGGAAACAGAAGTAAATGATGTTAAGGATGTCTTTTTATAGATATAAACATTTAGGCACAGATTTTTAAAATCCAAATCCAGATTCAGAATTGTTCATTCTTTCTTTCCATCATGTTCTCCTTAAAAAAAAAAAACATTAATTTTAAATTTATAAGTGAGTTTTATCCGTTGAATTTTATCAAATGATGAAACCATTACTAGGTATTTGGAATGAAAACACAAAGCTGAGTGTATCGCTTACTTAAATAAGAGGGAACTATGCTGGTTAACCACAGTCTCTCAAAACAGAGTATTCTTAGGTTTTGGGGAAAACTGGGAGATCAAGAGATCTGTGAGCATTCGATGTGAATAGGTTGATGTGACCTTTAGAAGCATGGTTGGTTAATCAGGTGTTACCACTGTTAATTGGTTGGCATTTAGAATTTTGTTCATTGGGGTGAGTTCATTTCTGATTAGCCAACTTTCAGAAGGAAAGGGTTGACAATGGCTGGCTTGAGGAATCATGATCAAGACCAAATAGGCAGGTAATTGTTAATTAATTAAATGAGTCTGAAACTTGTGTTGGTGGCTACTTGTTACTGTGATTACAAAACAAGCATTTCCCTCCATCTGTCCTCCTCCTCCATTTTACTCAAAGTTTATTCATCTTTGTACCCTCAGGGCTTAGACAGAATGTTATATATAGTTCTTTTCAAAGACTGTGAAGTAAATGATTGGAAATAGAATGAAGTCATTTTGGACCTATCTTAGAATTTCTATCATCCATCTTTTTGTTTTCATTACAAAGCCTAGTTTATTTCTCTAACACCTCCTATCTGGATCGGGTCCTAGCTTCCTACTTCCCTCCAGTTGTTTTTCTCTTTCGTCCCATTCTGTACTTAACAGTTTTACTTTACAAAAAATTCAGTGCTGTCACACTCTTGCTCAAAAGTAGTCACTGTCCAAACTACTGAACCAAGGTCAAAATTTCTGGTTTGTTACTGATGATCTCTCAGTGTTTCAGAGATAGTGTACCCATTGTATCTTATTATTCACTACTCTCCTGTCTGTGAATAAGACACATAAAGGCACTATTCCTGGGATGTTTCTAATATCTTACTGCTGCACATTTGTTCATGCTTTTCTACTGCCTAGAATACCTTTCCTCATTCCCCCATTTCTAGCCAATGAAATCCTATACCTACTTATTAGGTTTCCTATTTATAAAGACTTTTCTGGTCCCCTGGTAATATATAATTTTTTCCTTTCTCTGAATCTACTTAAGCACTGATTGTGCCAGTTAGAGGAACACATTTTAAATTCTGTTCAGCAATGCAATTATTTTGTACTTTTCCTATTATCTATTTATTTTATTATTCCAAATTGTGAAGAATCCATGAATTCTCTATCTTGTTAATCTCCTGGATACTCTGTTAAAATATTGTAAATAAAATAGCTCTTGGCACATATATGTTGAAGTGAATTAACATATTTTAAAATATCTAAGTTCCTTTCTTTAAGAAAAGAAATATTGGATTCCACCTGCTGGTACAGCTGAATCCACACAACCTCAGAGATGGGAAGCAAATAGATTGGGGTAAAAATGTCAATAATTTGGTCAAATAGTGTATATTTTTGTGATGATTGATATTTATGAATATTTGCTGCCATCCGAAAGATGTTTTATGTAGATAAAATGCACTATAATTTTTGACATTTGCTTGAGGTAATAGAAATAATTCTTAATTTATTTTTACCTTTATTTTTATCATGACATATATTTGAGGCTAAACATATCCATGCATGTGTTTATGTATAATATAGCAGTAAATGGTAATGGATCAACCTTTTTTTTAATTCAGTGCCTTTCTCACAGCATAGTTTTACTTAATACTAAAAATAAACAGAATTCTAAATTATGCTCATTACATATACAACTGACTACTTCCTAGTGAAAAAGAAGAAAACATTTTAGAGGTTCAAAATGTGGTGAAGAAGTGTAGTATCCACCATACAAAGAACACTTGAAAAACAGTTATCAAATGAAAGGGATATTTTAGTCTTCACAATTTCAAAGCTAAGTTAGTAAGATTTTTATTTATTTATTTATTTTTTTAAAGATTTTATTTATTTATTTATTAGAGAGCGAGTGAGAGAGAAACAGCATGAGAGGGGGGAGGGTCAGAGGGAGAAGCAGGCTCCCTGCCGAGCTGGGAGCCCGATGTGGGGCTCGATCCCAGGACTCCGGGATCATGACCTGAGCCGAAGGCAGTCGCTCAACCGACTGAGCCCCCCAGGTGCCCCAGATTTTTTTTTTTTTTTTTAGAAAGGCGGTACTTATGTACAAAGTATTCTTTAGTTCTTCCTAAAAAAATACTTGCAAAAACTTAACCTTCACCGTTTGTTGGGTAATAATTATAATAAAGGAGCAGAGAATATGTATTGTATCACTTTGTACCTCTCAGCCTTATGCACTTAAGTGTCCAGTTAAGTATCTTTTGGGGGAAAAAAGCCAAACAACGAAGTGGCAGATGATAGAGCAGTCTGCTTCCTGTGTAATATTTTTCAACCCTGTTACTCAGAGTGTGGTCTTCAAGTCAGCAGTGTCAGCATCACTGGCCAGCTTGTCAGAAATGCAGAACTTCAGGTTCTACCCCTGACCTACTGAATTTGAGTCCAAGTTGAAAAAGGTCCCAGGTGATTCATATGCACATTAAAAATTGAGAAGTACTCTATTATGCTATGGATAGAAGCAGACCAAGGACTATTAACTTTTTCCCCCTCTGTAGCTCTTTTTAAAAATATTTAAACAAAAAAATACAGGGCGCCTGGTGGCTCAGTAGGTTAAGCATCTGCCTTTGGCTCAGGTCATGATCCCAGGGTCTTGGAATCAAGCCCCTCGTCGGGCTCCCTGCTCCACGGGGAGTCTGCTTCTCCCTCTCGCTCTGTTGCTCGCCCCCCTCCCCCGCTCATTCTCTCTCTCTCTAATAAATAAATAAAATATTTCAAATATATATTAAAAAAATAGTTCTAGGGGTATCTGGATGGCTCAGTTGGCTAAGCATATGACTCTTGGTTTCTCCTTAAGTCATGATCTTATGGATCGTGAGGTGGAGCCCTGCTCTGTGCTCAGAGGGAGGTCTGATTGAGATTCTCTCCTACCCCTCCCCCCACTCACACACGCACGTTCTCTCTCTCTCTCTCAAATAAATAAATCTTTTTAAAAAATAATTGTTCTAAATAATTACATTCCTGCTACTTGTGAAGGCATTGACTAAGTTACCTATTCAACCTCCTTTTATGTTAGTGGGCTTGAGATTTGACTCTTGGCTTTTTTACTCATGATCAGAACACCTGACCAGAATATACATATTTAACATAAAAAAGATCTTTTAATGCTAGCTAAGCTAAGATAAATTTATAGCAAGAAAAATGCCTGGCACATTGCTGCAGAGTTGTCTTGGCCTCCTGCCAGGATTTATGTTTTAACACTTCTGGGATTAATGATACGCTTCACATAAAGGATTATTTTTATATCTTGGTTCCCTGGAATGAACACAGTGGGTAAATTGTAATGCCAAGTTGCAAAATAACCTTTTGAAGGAGCTGCCACTTACTATGTGTGTTGTTACAAATTATTATTGACTTTAAATGCTGGGTTTCTTTCATTCCCTGGATGTGGCAAAGGACATAATGTCAGATCAACTTTATGTGAAGGACTTTTAAATTTATCTCTAGAGTCTGAGAAGGAAGGTAACATCTGACTTTAACAGATGTACCAAAAATGTAAACAAATGTTTTTTAATATACCTAAGGAATATTACAAATCATATACATATGGTATATTGTTGTTTTATTTTATTGTTATTGTGGAAATACATGGTTCATTTCAACACAGAGACATATTTTGCTCTTTACATACTTAATCACCAGCAAAAATTTGTTTAGATGATGCAAGCTTTCCTTACTGGAAGCCAAGGCATTAAGCTCTTTTGTGTAATTGTTTAATTACCAATGCACTATTTTAATTGACACGTTAATATAGCTTTCCATGGAAAGGAAGATATAATCTTTAATTGTGTTTCTTATCTGATGAAAACCACTCTCTTAGTTGGGCCAGTTTGGCAATTTGACTTAGGAAAAAGTATTATGGAATGAAGTTTTTATGTGAACAAGGAAAAAAGAAATTAACTTTAGGGCTCCTCTCATTGGTCTGCCAAATTGGAAGGCCATTTTCGGCGTGATTATCATGTTCTAATTAGTCTCTGGAGATTCATGGGCAATCGAGTGCTCATTAATGTGTCTTCTTCCTGTAACATTTATTCGTTCATTCGCCTTTCAGAGACTCAAATATAGAAACCAAAAATTGATGTTGGGTGTTAATGTGCTTACAGATATTGCCACCACTTATCCAGATAAGAAGTCCATCTTAATGTATATCACATCACTCTTCCAAGTTTTGCCTCAACAAGTGAGCATTGAAGCCATCCAGGAAGTGGAAATGTTGCCAAGGCCATCAAAAGTTACAAGAGAAGAACATTTTCAATTACATCATCAAATGCATTATTCTCAACAGGTAAAGTATCAAAAGAGTACTTAATATCAATGATATTTTCTATCGTATATGCATTTTTAGTCATCATACACATACATATCTATTATATGTATGATAAATACATGATAAATATGTCTATATAGCATAACGTGTATATATATACACATACCTACACACATATATATGTCTACATAGCATAATGTGTGTGTGTGTGTGTAGGTATGTGTATATATATATATCTACCTATAGATAGAGAAACTCTATAAGCCTTCTGAATTTTAACTGATATAATGGACCATAATATTGTTTTCAAAGCACATTATTAAAATACTCTGCTGTTGATATGCACTATGTTATAGAAATATGGAAGACAATATATTGCATTTCCATTGTGTAAAATGAATTAAAATAAAAGATAGACTCATATATGTATGAAACTTTCTGTCAATGAGAGTAAAGAACAAAGAGAGCAAGAGCAAAGGCAAGTACTCTGTTTAATAATACTTTCTTATTTTTAGTGGCAACCTACTGATGTATTAACAAATTTTGATTATTCAAGATAACATTTTTGATAAAAGTAGTTTATAATACTTTAAATAAAAGTTGAAGGGAGAATACATATGATAAAGATTTTTGATTGTCCAGGATTTAGTGGGATTCTTTTATTACATGGTTTGTTCTTGCTCCCAAGAGTGGCTGTTTGGGGTGTTTTCTTTTACTTTCTTTGACACAAACAATGATGAAAAAGCCTAAAAAAAAAAAAAAAAGCTTTTAGCATAATTCCTTCTGAAGGTGTGGACAGCTAATCTTAGGCCTAATTTTCTCACTCTCCTAAAGCACTAGTTCTGTATTTTGCTTATGAAAGCTCCAGTCCTTTCCAGGAACTTGACCTGATGAATTCTGGTTTTGTTTACTTTGGGTTCAGAGAAAATTGCTTTTGGATGCCTGTTTTTGCCAGATTGAAGAGCACCATCCCATAGGAGTGCTGGAGCTGTGTCAGTATGGAATCCTTATAGTTAAGTCCCGCCCTCATCCCTTCCCTGAGTACCCGCTCTCCACCATGACATTGAGCACCAGAATTGTGCAAGTGTACCAGTTTGCAATAGCACTATGTGCATTTCAAATTAAACTTTTCATCTCACTGTTTCCATTTAACATTTGTTTTTGTAGTGTGTGGGAAAGCAGTCCTTCCAGGGTTACTTATGATGTCTCCTCCTCCCCTCTGTCCCCTTCCCCGTAACCCTACTCTGCAGATCACAGTCAGTCTAGCACAGGGCTATGAACGAACTCCTTCCTCTCCCAAGCCTCGGTTCAAGAGCTATGCCTACACTCAGGCTGCTTATGTCGCCACCTCTGACCCCACACGGAGCCCACTTCCTTCACAGGTCTGTCAACATTTACTCTCTGTTCTACAAACCAAAGAACTTCCTCCTCGAGGATAACCTGACATGGCTTTCGTTTGAATTTTGCAGTGCCTTTTTTCTCCTTCGTCAGGAGCAGTTTCATTATTCCCAGTTGTATTAGATGTTCTCACATGATGCTGTTTCGTTATTGTGATTTCCCTAGGCTTAACATGGGTTGATTCTTCATGAATGGGGATTCTTAGAATAGTGGTGTGTGCTTTCATTATATAATTTACCTGTAAGGTTCTCTTTTATAAAGGCTACCAATAGTTATACGAAAACATCATTAAAAGTTTAAATATGTAATTTTTAAAAGAATGGGAAAATGGATGAAATTCACTGGTCACACTACTTGGCGAGATTTTTCTAGATACCTGATACCTAAAGGAAACATACACTTTATATAGATGTTCTTATTATATTTTCATTCTATAAAATATATTTATACTCTATTTAAGAAAAATATAACTACAGGGCCACCTGGGTGGCTCAGTCGGTTAAGGGTCTGACTCTTGATGTCAGCTCAGGTAATGATCTCAGAGTTGTGAGACTGAGCCCCACATCCGGCTCTGTGCTGGGCATGGAGCCTGCTTAAGATTCTCTTTTGCCCTCTTCCTCTGCCCCTCCCCCCCAAAAATGAAAGGAAAATATAACTATAAGCTTTTTCATATGATACATTTTAATTTGGCTAATTTAAACATGTATATAACATGCTCTGTACTATTTGTACAAGAAAGTCTGTCACTCCCGCACCAGTCAGATTCTATGCACCATTTTGTACTTTCCGCATAAAGAGTCTTCTCAGTGGAATTTTCCATTATTGCGGTATTGTAGGAAACCTAAAAATACAAGAAATTACAGCCTGGTTTATGTTAGAGCATGGAAATGAAATGTGCTTGATTTGTGAGATTTGCTAGAATTTCTTTTTAGAAGAAAACTATTTTGTTTAGTAGAGCAATTTGAAAGTTCTTAAGGAAGTGACTTTTGTCAGAACTACATTATGAATGGGAATTTAGAAATTATAGACCTGATCCTATATGGTGAAAAAAGTGTACATGTTTAGAGGCTCACTGATTTTTTACAATAGTGGTTGTATTTAATTAGTGATTATTTTGCACAGTTGATTTATGCATAAGGCTGAAAATTCTTAGCACTCACTGATTCCCCCGGGGAAGCATATTTCAGGGCATACTTATGCCCTCTATCCTTGGCTAGCTTTCTGGCAAAGCTGAACAAAGGAGACTGGGTGAGAACATTTGTGTGACTCAGCCTCATCTTCAGTTAAATTCCCATATCCATGTTTTTACAAAGGTTCGTTGTATAATCTTGAACAAGAAACTTAATCAGTTTTCTCATTATCAGTAAATAGAAATAGTTGGGCCACTCATTACTGAGTGTTGCTCTATGCCAAGTGTGCACATTATATGAACTAAGGAAATCCTTATAACAACTTCGAAGAGGTGGGAGATGCTATTTTTATCCACATTTGAAGTTTCCTCTTTCTGCCCTTCTCTTTCTCTTCTTCCCCCTCCCTCGCACCCTCCTGACTGCCTGACTGTCTGGACTCTTTTCATCACCATCCTCCCATTGAAACCTCCAAGTCTTAAAGAATAGGGGTGCATCCTAAAATAAAGGAGCATAAGTCAAGACAAGGAGATGAGTTCTTTTTCCCCCTCATTATCACTTTATTGAGCTGCCTTTTCCAGAAGTTTTTCTCCAATGCCTCTTCTGGTGGCACATTTTTACCTCATTACCAACCCCATTAAGGCATTGCTCAGTTATGACTCCTTAATGAAGTAATTATAAGTGGACTTAATTTTGCTAGACTCTATTTGTTTATTCTACCTTTGTATAAATACTACAAAATATATAATGTGTCATAAAATAAAAATATTCAGCAAATTCACTTACCTGTTTTATTTAGCATAAGCCATTGAAATAAACCTGATGGTGTCCTTTAGAAAAGAAGAAGCATGAATTACAATTGATGAGGAATGATATATTCTGCCTGTTTCTAAAGGAAGCACATCAGAAGATGATGTTACATGTAGTTAGTTTGATAAGTTTATGTCTTAACGATATACTTAGAAAAATTTTTTCTGAAGCGTTTCACAGAGGGGCTGAACCTATACTGCCCCCTACAGGTTGTATCTGATCCACTTCAAATGAACTCAAGACAGACCACACCGGACTCCATTAGAGAGTTTCATTCAAGTGGTTTACTTGGTGGTCTGCAAAGGGGGTGAAGTTTTCCATAATAGGAAAGCAAGCTACGTGGGTGCCTGTCCGCTATGGAAAGCAGAAATTCTGTGAATTACTTAAAAGTTCCCAATATATTGGGGTGCCTGGGTGGCTCAGTTAGTTAAGCGACTGCCTTCGGTTCGGGTCATGATCCCGGGGTCCTGGGATCGAGTCTCACATCGGGCTTCCCTTGCTCTGTAGGGAGCCTGATTCTCCCTCTCCCTCTGCCTGCCACTCTCCCTGTTTGTGCTCTCTCTCTCTGTCAAATAAATAAATAAAATATTTTTTTTAAAAAAGTTCCCAATATATTAGAATCATCAGTTATCCCCATCTGTCCTAAACTTGAAAAATCCGATTTATACTCTTTGCAGTTTGAAAATCTATTGGGGTGAAGCAGTCGACCTACCTCAGGATCCCTGTTTATAAATGAGTTTTTCTCATAATTTGCCAAGAAGAAATACTATCTGGTGTGAACCTCTGGCTTTCTCTCATTGTATATCACTTTATTGCCATCCATCCTTGGATGGAGGACATTTTTTTTTATGGTTTTACTTAATTCCTATTTTTATGACTTTGATCATGCCTCTCATTCTACTCCTAATTTTATATCAAAAATACTCAGTATCTTTTTCACTTTCAGTTTCTGTTTCTTTCCTGGAGCCTAACCCTGCTTAAAACTCCTCTAGTGTATGTCACCTCTTCTGAAACACATCAGTCCACTTTATCTTGTTAATATACTGTTATGTGACTCTTTCATTTATCACCTTCTGTAGAATAGTCTATGCTTTATTTATTCATTTGTTTAGTCCACAAATAATTATACTTCACCAAATCCAATGTCATCTTTTCAGCTTTCAGGCTTTCCATCATAATTGAAATAACTTTTCTCTTAGCTTCTAGACTCATTAGCTTCTTCTCCATCTCTGTTCTGTATCTCTTTTACTATCTGGCCTTCTTCTCTTCTAACTCCCTTTGCATAAGAACTTCATGAAAGATCCCTTGAGCCATGTATTATAGTCTCCCTGTTATCAATATGATTTAACCTCCTGGCTTCAAGCTGTATTTGGATGACCGTTGTGATCTGTGTTTTTACCCACTTTCAGTGTCTTTTAAGTTACAGCCACATTTCCAACTCATTTTCAACTCTTTGGCATGTATCTATACCTAGATGTCCACTGATTTCTTAAACCTGGTATGTCCTGAAGGGAACTTTGTTTCATTGCTCACAAACCCATTTCTTGTCCCTTTTTGTTATGTAAGTGAGAATATTACTCAGCAGTCATTGATACTTAAATATGTGACATCGTACTCTTTGGTCTCTTTATTGATCTGGTATTCATTAATGAGACATGCAAAGTCATTTCCTTCTTTACAAAATTACTCCATTAAGCTATGTCCCTGATGTTATGTCCTCTGATTTAGGCCCTCAATACATGTCTTCTGGATTACAGAAATACCTTTTCAATCAATGTCACTATCTTTATCTTAGTCCCCTCTAAATCAGATTAAATTTCCATATTAACAACTTTAACAATATCATTCACAAAACTTTCTTCACTTCCTTTTGCCTTTATAACAGGTCCACTCTCTTAAATTTCATCAAGAAGCTCCATGATCTATTATCTATTTATATTTTCATGTTTATTTCACAGTAGTCTATTTTATGTTTTCTTTACTCCAACCAAATTAAATCACTTGCTGTCTTCCATAAGTGCCAAACAATTTCCTATCTTAGCTTTTTTTGGTTCTCTCAGCCTAGAGTGACTTTTGTCTCCTTTCACATTGGGTAGTTTAATCAAAATTTCAAAGCCTAACCAATAAGTAGCAGAGCCTGGATTCATGTTTGGATTTATCTAACCCCAAGTTAATGTTCTTCATACTAACACTGAATTCTCTCTCTCTCTCTCTCTACACACACACACACACACACACACACACACACACGGGATTACTCACACATAGAGTAGTATTCATTTATGTAATCATTTTTTAAAAGTTTTTATTTATTTATTTGAGAGAGAGAGCAGGAGCAGAGGGGAGGAGCAGAGGGAGAGGGAGAAGCAGACTCTCCACTGAGCAGGGAGCCCGATGTGGGGTTCAATCCCAGGACCTCAAGATCATGACCTGAGGCAAAGGCAGATGCCTAACTGACTGAGCCACCCAGGTGCCCCTGTAATCATTTAATACTTAATTTTTAATCACCTACTATGTGCCAGGTATTATTATATGATATTGCAATCAATATCATATAATAATTGGTTCCACCAATTGGTGCATCAATAAACAAACTTACAAAATAATTTGTGCCCTAATGGAGAGCATAGGCTTATGGGAGAGTCAAAATATGAATAAGATAAACATTATGAATAAGTGAAAGAATATTTCAGATAATATGCTAGTAATATGTATAAAGTAAAGCAAAATTCAGTAGTAATTACAACAGTTAGTGGTAAAAAGAAAAAAATAAAAGAGGAAAGTAGAATATGCAGTATGTGACAACTGGAGTAGTCAGAAAAAGTAAATTTTGAGTAAAGACTGAAAAGAGGTGTGGGTCTCTGGAGAAGACCAACCTCTGAGGAGGAAGCATAGATGGTACAAAAGCCCTGAGCTGTGGGGATACTTGGACTACTCAAGGAAAGATAGGAGGGAGGGCACAGTGCTGGGACATGTTGCTGAGCTGTAACAGTAGACCAGATCACATAAGATCTGGTAAGTAATGGTGAGGACTTTGGTTTTTATTA